AGACAGCTGTCACATACAAAAATAAAGTGTAGAAATAAGACAGCTGTCTCATACAAAAATAAAGTGTAGAAATAAGACAGCTGTCTCATACAAAAATAAAGTGTAGAAATAAGACAGCTGTCACATACAAAAATAAAGTGTAGAAATAAGACAGCTGTCACATACAAAAATAAAGTGTAGAAATAAGACAGCTGTCACAGACAAAAATAAAGTGTAGAAATAAGACAGCTGTCACATACAAAAATAAAGTGTAGAAATAAGACAGCTGTCACATACAAAAATAAAGTGTAGAAATAAGAAAGTTGTCACATTAAAAACTAAATCGGGGACTGTGATATAATTATAGTACATTTTAATTGTTATTATAAGTAAATGTTTTTCACTTTAATTTGAATTTTAAAAAAAATGATTTTAAAGGTTATCAAACTTATGGAAGAAGCAGAAACATTTTGAAAATATCTGATCTAGGTACACAGTTTTTCAGTAAATAAAGTTTAAAAAAAATGGAACTTGCAGAAACTATCTATAGTGATAAACCAATTTTCAACTTACAACAAAGTTAAGAGTTTGTTGAAAGAAAAGTCCGCTTGAGTAAGAATCTAATCGACTGAATATCCTTAATCATGTTATAGTTTTTAACTGTCATAACTATTACAAATTATATTGAATCATTTGACAAAACGTTTTGAGCAAACGAAACAAACAAAGTAACAATTTTTCAGGGATTGCAATCTTCTTGTAAGGTAAAATCCTAAAATTGGGAATATCTAAAAAATAAATGTGTTTGAATTATGCTTTGAAAAACGTAGACCGCCATGTCAGAAATCCACACAGAACATTCTTACATTAGACAGAGGTTTTTCTTAACCAAAATCAAAATTGATTTCAATATATCTAAGAACGTCTATAACTCAGGAAAGTCTCGAATCTTTGGTGATGATGTCTTTCGACTAGATTCTAGAGATCTGGGATGTTCTCAGCCCTCTTGCTATAGCAAGAAAAATATCTTGCGGAATAGTAATCTAGATATTATGGCAATTAATTAATGTTTTAATTCAATCGCTGCGAGCTAAAAGTCGGATTTTTTCTTGGTTAAGGTTAGGCTTTTCAATAAAGTCATTTTAAATTCAAACAGATTAGTTGTTTTTTTAATGTTCCAAATACAATCTAAATAATAAGAATACTGTTTCATTTTGAATGCTTAGTTATCAGAATAATGCTGTAGGACTTTTTTATAGTTTGTCTGCTCTAGCAGCGTTTTTTTTTTTTAATTATTAACATTTAACTCCGACCTTAAAAATGTGTCGGAGGTAGGAGTTCCAAAAATGTAGAACTGCTTGAGGCGCTAAAATAACTAAGGCAGGCCCTGGGTAGATGTATACCTAGTCGTGTGCCATCGGGCGCCCATTGAAATAATAAAGGAGAGAGGCACAAAATCGGAAATCCGGATGAAATTGTATATATATATATATATATATATATATATATATATATATAAATTTTATATAAATAAAAAAAAAATATATATAATAGATGTATATATAGTTGTGTGCCATCGGGCGTCCATTGAAATAAAAAAGGAGAGAGGGACAAAATGGGAGATGTGGATGAAATTGTATATATATATATATATATATATATATATATATATATTTAAATTGTTTATACGAATAAAAATAATATCTTTACGACTACCTTTAAGTACCTAATGGATTAAGTTTCTATTCTAAAGCTTATATAAAAAACCGACCCGACATTTACTGAGCATCCAGCGGCCTCTTCATCGCCCCACTTAATGCAGGATCAGACCTGCGATTAATTTGTCTGAATACCTCTCCTCCGTCCAACCATCGTGGCGCATACAAATTGCTAATCAAACACTATTTGTTTGGGTCACAGTCGACTGAGAAAGTTGTTGGACTTTCCTCCCCCTTGCGCGAGTTCCCACGAGGCTGCAGTAGCCTATATCTAAATCACTTGGTTTCAAATGCTTTTCATGTACTCTTTAACAAACCCGCTTGGTAGCGCAGAGGTCAATTTTGTTATAAAATATTAGAACTAAAACATTGAAGATATGAAATCGCATTGTCTATAGTAGTTAGCGTTATCCCCATTCCAAAACGAGGTTCCGAAAACTGGCATTCGGCAGTTAAATCTTGGCTACGTCCATAAACCTGCTTGTTGAGGCAAATGAAACGTGTACTATAAATGCAGACTCTAGGATGGGGTACTGCGCTGGGGGTACTGCGCTATATAAGCTCACTATAGCCAAGTTTCTCCCATCTGAGCAGAGCGCCGGATCCCAAGACGTTATACTTCAGTGCTAGACCCAGGTGTTGACCCGATTCAAAGAAGAACCGTGGATTTGGCAAAAATTAGAACCCGACTCTGGGAAATAATATCCTACTTGGAATATAACCCTTTGAGCATTACATAATTTCAAAAAGGGTTCTAGCGATTAAACTTGATCGCAACAAAAGTACAACTCCGTCTCAGCCGTCGTGCTTCATTTTTTTTTATGAAGACATTAGTATTTTTTTTTTAAAATTGTATCAGTATTAGTCATACAGTATCTTAGCACAGATACGGGTGAAAATATTGAAAATATAATTTTTAAAAAGATTTAAAAAAAAAAAAAAATATTTGATTGTGAATACTTTATAACGCCCGTGCCTGTGTCCATGCTATTTTAACACGCTCACAGCGCTGTGACGTCATACAATCTATCAATTAAGATTGAGGCAAACTGTTCCATAATTTTTGGAGCTATAGGTTCAAAAGAGCCGCACTCCGTATGACTTCTTTCTTTGCCCATCCACACTGGGAACTCTCAGTAAGGCCTGTGTTAAGAGCGCAGCTTCTGTAAGGATACGTGTTTAGAAATCAGTTCTTTAAGAGATTAAGGCTAAAAACTTAAAAACTACACGTGCTTTGAATTAAAGAATATGCCTATAAACACAGCTTTTTATAAATGATATATCATTAAAATTAAAGAATGCAATGGACGTATGCAGGTAGAAACACTTGGTCGTAGGAAACCGCAAAACAGGTCAAGGTGTGTCAGCTGACCACTTGAAAGTACTAAACTGCCAGTATTGAGAACAATTTGAAATGAACACAACTAAAAGTCAAGTTAATTAGACCTTATGTAAATGGCAGACAGACAATTTTATGACACTATCATACTGTGGGGTCTCCTTGTTTTTAAAGACATTACATCAAGGTGCAAAGAGGTAAATCTGATTCTAAAAGTATATATACTATATATATATACTAGTTATAGCCCGCCAAACAATGGCCGCAGCAATGCGTTACCTTCCCATCATGTGACGCACCTATAAGAATCCCAATTAATGCTACCATCCCCACCAAATTACGCCACAGCACACTATTTTACGCCCCTGAACTATATTAATTTTCTAATTTCAATGTCCCTCACCCTTTTATATCGCATATTTATTGTACCATGTTTTAGCCGAAAAAGAAAATATAACGCTTCAAACGCAACAGCGGTATTTTAATTTTTTTTTATAAGAATCTCATTTAGCGCAGTTATCGGGAATTTTATCTTGCGCGCGATAATTGAACTCACAAGTCACAAATAATAATAAAGTTTATTTGAAAAACACGCTTCATCCCCAAAAGCTCGAAGCGCGGTACAAAGTCAACCAAATTAAAAAGAGAAATAAAACAATCTAAAATACACCATACTTTCTTCCGTACACATACACACCATATATATATATATATATATATATATATATATATATATATATATATATATAAGAGGTTTTGCTAATCCTTTTTAGGGTATAGAGACTTTCCAAAACTTTCATTTATCAAAATAGATCTATTTATCGGTGCCAGATATACGAGGCTATGGCATGCCAGATATACGTGACTCTGGCTTGCCAGAAAAAAAGACGGTCATTGGGAAGTAGCTAATTGTGAGAACATTAGATCTATTTCTCAAGCGTGTAAAAATGAAAAAAAAAAATTTGATTATAAAGATGGCAAACTAGTCCTTTGATAAAAAACATATAGTTTAATTTTGAAACACAATGATCTCAGTTAAAACTTTGGCTTAGAGCTCCGTGTATCAGACAAAGGGACGCTACTCAAAGAAGCTGTGTTCATTTTATCTTACTCTTGAAATGGTTCGTCCCAGACGTTAAAATCGCAATAAGAAAATGGCTAAGAGCCTAAAATTGCTTCAAAAAATTTAAATGAGTGGGTGGTAATAATAACTTTGCCTATGGATAATTGAATTGTTAAGGGCTATTTTATGGGTCAAGATTACGCTTAAAAGAAAGCTTAGTTTTTCTTTTAAAAAAATTCATTTTAATATACTTTAATTCCTTGTTTGTACTGTTTATTTTTTAAACCTTAAAGTAAGTCGGATAAACTATGGCATTTGAAAAAAAAGATAAAAAACAAAGTTTGCCCATTCGTTGTGACCTTGAGTTCTGAACATTGACAGATTCAAAAACTTGTTTTATTTTTGACTTAAACTTTTATTTAGTGTCTGCTAAGGAAAGCATCTTGCAAAAATGTTGATTAATTGTCTTATCTTTTATTTTCAAGCATAAACATATCTTGTTCCACTATTTATTGACTTTGAGTTAACAAGCTATAATTTTGACATGGTCAGTCTAGAGTTTGTAACTATTCCCGCCTAAGCTCCTATTCAATATTAGCTTCTGTAGCTTCCACCGAGCTATTAGCCCAAAGTTGGGAATGATCTGGGACCGATAATTGTTATATGCTTCCACCTGGTTGTGTGGTAAGTGTGTTTGACGAATAACTGACTGCAGGTGAGAAACTTGATAAGAAGAAACAATAAAACATGGTAAAAATTCAGAACTTTGTTTTATTTCAGAAACTTTCCATAATTTTGTTTGGATACACATGTTACATAGACATTTCATTAATTTTTATAAACACTGTTTACATAACATATCATGTCTAAAAAAATTGTATTAAAAAAAAAAAAAACACAACTGAGAATCAGAACATTTCATTTGAACAGTGTATTTGCTTCTGGACATATAATATATGAGCTGAACATACATGATTCCAACAGTTTTATTTCTTTACAATTTCATATTGCTTCAATTCCTGAATCATTTTTTAAATCAAACTCCTGAAACAACTATGGGTATTTATTATAAAGTAGTATGATGAACAACAGTTTCACAAAATAAATAAAAAAAAAAAACACTAATTAGTTTAGTTTTTATTCAATTGTAGATTACCAGTTAGTTTTGAAGCTGTTGATTTGATTTTTTTAAATTTTCTATACCAATAGGAAAATTAGGAATTCCCATCTTACAAGACTTTGTCACCATCTTAGACCAGTTGAAAATGTAAGCAGATATAGTACTCCATGCTCTGATTGGATTACCATGGCATTACTTTGATTGGGACATTGCATTATTGATTAGGCTTTAATCTTAAAGCACTAGCAACTACAAAAATATTAAATAACAGCTCCTACTCGAGATTTGTTAATAAGTGATAACATTCTGGTACACAAGATACTGCCAATTTCTTATGCCCAGTCATGCAGTTGTAATAACTGCTTCAGTGATCTAGAACATAGTAGAATAATTCATTCCTTAAAAGGGAAAATCAAATATACCAAGCTACCAATCTGAACAAGTTATTCATAATAATAATCAAAGAATACACCAATAATTTATGACTGTATAAAAGTTATTGTGGTTACAAAAAGACAAGGTTAAGTGAGTCTAGTGGGTGTGGGTGTAGGAGCATCAACGTCTTATATGTTTGCAATGACGATATTTACACGCTGAAGGCAGGTAATTAAAGGGTGCGGGTGAGCCCAAGGAAATTTCAATCCATTGATGAACTACATGTCCAACAATAATTTTTAAATTATAACAATTTTCCCAATGGCATCTAAATTACTAGTAAGTCACTAGCTATAAAAAGCAGTGTTTGAATATTGTATCTCATTAAATCTCTCCCCATTTCTCAAAGCTATTCAAACAAGATATTTTATTAACAATAGTAGTTTGTAAAATTATGGGTGAAAAAAAAAGTATGACAGAGAGAAGAAATGTTCCCCTCTAAATGGCAATGTTTATAAAATACTAACTTAAAGTCTCCATTTTATTTATAAAGACTAGTCACAAACTAAATGAAACACACCATGCACCAGTTCGGAAATGTTCATTTAACAATTTTCAGACAAAATTTTTAGGTATGTTTTTAAAATAAAATTAGGAGGATACATAATATCTGAAATTGGCTTTTTACAAAAATCAATTTTGAATAAATAGCTACCATTTAATTGTTAAATATAAAATTAATAAAAGAATAATAAGGGCTAATCATTTAAAAGAGCAGGTTTTTCTAAACACGTAATTAAAATCCAGGGACCAAAAGAAAAGGTCATGCCATTTATTTCAAGGGGTCTCAAATAAAATGTTTTATTGGTACATTTGTGGGGATATTAACTTGGTGATTTACTGTTATTTATCAACTGTTCAGTTTATTGGTACAAAAATAGCATTTCAGAATTTCACTTTCAACATCTGTGAGCTTAAAATATAAAAATTTTTTACATGCCAACTGGAGGGTATCTTCAAAAAGCCATCCTAAAATCTTAGAATTAGATTATTCATTTCTAAAATGATTATCTTGCAATAAAAAAATAACTTGCAGATAAGAGAGGTTATTTCATTATTGAAGTAAAAATTACAATTGCCCTGATCCGAAATTTTGATTTAACATTTAAGGAACTTAAGTTAATCTGGCAGATGATCTCAAGTCATATTATAAACTTATTTTAAAAGTTCAGCATGATTCTCCTGTTCCATGAATTATGAAGATGGCATTTGTGTTGTAAAATTGCATTCTCAAAGAATTTTTTTTAATGAATTAGAACATTTTGAAAAAAAAAAATTATTTTATAAAGTAAAAACAAAGAAAATTTTGATAAAAAATTAAAAAATAAATATTAAATACAGTATGAGCATTCTGGATGGGCTACAGAAAAACAAGAGGCAGAAAACCTCAAAGGTGGAAGTTGTCCACACAATACCAGAATGGACAAAATTGAGAAATAAATTATGTACTACAGAAGTTAGTTTACAGGCCCTTATTAAATGTTAAAAAACAAGTAATGTTATATGATCAGCTGCCAGTCACAGAAAGAGTTCTATACACACCAAGAAGTTAAAATCCAAAACATTGTAGCAGATGGAAACCTATTCACATGTAAGTGATAACATGTTAGATGTTACAAAAGTGTCATTAAAAATATGTGAGTTTTGATGATCATTTAGAAAATGCATCAGTAGTCACCTAAGTGTATGATGTTGGAGGATCCAAGAATTTTTTAAAAAAAAGGGAAACCTTTATTTCATTTGAATAGAAGTGAGACAAAAATAACTCCACATGTTAGCCTATCAAACTGTAGGACACAAAATATGCTACAATTATGCTTTGTCAAACTCATTAATCATTCTCACGTTTAAGTTCTTTCAATTAAACAACATAATTAAAGTTACATGAAAACTATAACTTTGGAACAAACTATGCTGAACGAAATGCTCAACAACATATTTACAATTGCAGGATATGAAAAAAAACTATTCTTAAAATCTTTAGTAGTTATAAATCTTAGTTCAAATAAGTTTTAAAAATTGTAATGCCACAAATATAATGCATGTAGATTCTAAAATAAATAGGTCAGTACTTTTTCAATTGCAGTGAACATGTTCATGTTAAACTGTTTTAAGATGTGGAACAGTATTTTTAAAAATGTGCTCTTACTGCATCTGTCTTTAGAAATATTGTTTAACATATAATTTCTTTGATAACTTTAAAAAGGGGATGGCACCAAAATTCAGTTACATGTGGTCAGCACCTTTCAGGTATAATTAATGGTAAAAGGAATTGGCTGCATCCAATGATTTGCTCTTATTTATTTTAATTACTAAACAGAACATATCTTACAACAGGATTAGCACAAACAATAGTTTCTTTGTACCGGTAACTAAAAAATTCAACTGAACATCAAAAAGTTTCAAAGCCCCAATGAGAGGATACACGTATATCATGAGTAGATTTTATTTTTTAAACTAAAATTTCAACATATCATTATCAAAACAATTTTGTTGGAACCGTTAACAACACGCCAATTAAATTAACAAAATCAGTGACAAGTTTTAGAAACTATCGTAATCATAGTAAGTGATTTTTTTTAAATTTTTTTTTTTACAATACAACATGCATATTTATTTTATGAAATGTTCAACCCCAAATCACCCTTGTGATCGGTTAAAGAACAGATGAGAATTTTGTCTTTTTTAATTCCAGAGATATTTGAAAAAATATTGTATGCTGCTCCAGATCCGGGGATGTTAAACATGAAGGAACAAAACAAGCTTAACTAAGCTTCCTGTTCTCTCATTCTCTGAAATGAAACATGGTTTGAATACAAAATATTATGTGTTCTTGTGATGCTGTAATGACAATGATATAAAGACTTCCAGTGAATCTCTACACAACCAATTTGTTCAAATATTTCATTCACACCAGATGTCAATAACACAATTTAAAAAAAACTGCAGGCAGGTTTATGAAGACTTTTTAGAAATGAATCAAAATGGCTGTCGAAAGACATTTTTCCCCCCACAATTTAAGAAAAAGATCAAAAGGACAATGCTATGAGAACATGTTTCCATGTTTGAAAGAAAAGCTCCTCCTGCATGTGGTTCTATCAATGCTGACAGTGCAATGTTATGAATGAAAAATACAATTTAAGTGATGCCATTTCAAAACAAGTCAGGCTTCTTGTTTATATCACATCTATTTTTCTGTGCCCATCCAGAAAGCTAAAAACCTTGGCTCCAAGTTTATTAAAAACAAACACTTAAGTCGTGTCACTGTGTGAGAGAAAAAATATAACAAATGGAAAGTGAACTATAATGATCAACATGAATATAGTACAAACCATAAACACTGGACTTTGATAAAGGGCAGCGATAAAAGCACTGTAGATATAAAGGCAAATAAATTTTGTACTGTATACAGTAAACCCTCATTTAAATGCTGAGAATTTATATTAACCTGATTTCATAACTTTTCCTTTTGAAACGTAGTTTGCAATTAAAAGAAAACAAAAAACAACTGATTCAAGCCCATCCACAACAAATCAATTATTTGTGTGACCAAGTTGACAAGACATTATTTCTTCCTTCTTCCTGTCTACTATCATTAATTTCAACATTTTCTTTCTTTGATCCCCGAAATAAAATAGGACGGCAGCAAGATTCCCTATGCTTAACGATCGTATTTAGACGGAATGTCACAATTGCTAGATTAAAGGGATTGTAGGCCGTAATTTCTTTGCTCTCTCTAGGCAGGAGGAGAGCTTTTATTGTTGATTCCCAATAAAACCTTTCACCATTTGAATTATGTGAACTTGAGTAGTTGATTAAAAATAAAATTATATCTTTTAAAATCTGCCAATGAGAAATTTTATTGGGCCCTTTTAAAATAAAAAGTTGTGGGGTTTAGAAAATAGTTGCTTACAAAATATAAAATAAAATGTACCATTTGAATGTATGCAATTGATCTCGAAGGAAGATATAACAAGTCTTGAAACAATTAAAATAATAGCTATGCGTCATGCCAACCTTCAGCAATATTAATTAAATAATTAATCTTTCTGTTTGAATGAACTTTTAAATCTAGAACACTGGGGTAAATCAACTCATTAAAGAATAATTCAAATGTATCTTTTCCAAACAAGGAAAAAATTTAAATAAATTTGTGTAAAATAGCATTACCTGGCATCTTGAAGGGTTTTTCTGTAATTTGTGAGAAACTTAGTCATTTTCTAAGTAAAACCTTACTGAGGGTTTGTAAGGAATCTTTTTTAAAAACCCAATCTATCTTTTAAAATTAAATCTGCTGTATCAGTACAAATATGTTGATAATAATCTGAAATGTCTTGGTAAATATAAAAAGACCTTTTAGTTATATTCGCCAATAGAATTTTTTTTAAAATAACTATTTGTATAAAAGTTATCAACATGGCAGTCTTGTTAAATCAAATGAAGGGCCATAGAATTTTTTATCATTATAGCTTTTACTAACTTCTTCAGCTTATTATGTGAGGGCTTAGTGTAATTTTAGCATTTCCAACCTTGCTGGAACTATAAGCTAAACTTCACATTTTCAAAGTTTACCAGATTATATATCATTTATCCATTTGTAGCTGGTGTCAGAAACAATGAAGTCTTATAGGTCCATCATAACATCTCCTTATAGCCTTAGCCAACAGATAGGCAGGTGATAGTTTCAAGGATAGTAATGTTGATTTTAACTCAATAAAGACACAAAGAAAGGGATTTAGCCTACAAATAGCTTTAGCTGTCAAGTGATTTAAACTTTTAATAAATGTAATAGAAGATCATATCTTTCAACAGCTGAAAAGATTGATGTCATAGACTGGCCTGATGTCTAAATAGAAGATAAAATAGAATCAGATTTGTACTTTCATCTCATAGTCATTTGGACAACAGACTCCAATTAAAATGAACACCCAACCAGAAAGCTGTCACTTCAACTAAATTTATTCAGGATAAGAAACGTCAACTTTCATAAAGTGGGTGAACACTTCATAATTACTAGAACTGAAGTGGTTTTTTCTTCTTCAAATATTTGAACAAATCAGTTTTATTATAATTAAACTAACTCTTTGCCTACTGAGTTTTTCTCTTTATTCAGACTGACTTAATTTCTGGTGCATGAAAAACATTCAATATGCTGACAAAAAACAATGAATAAAATTCTGATCGTCTTGACTTTGAAACTATTGAGAACATTAAATGAATGCTGTTTGGAAATGTATAACATATAGATCATGATATGACTTAATATTAATTAAGTTTACAGTCATGAAAATTAAGTTGTAATGAAAATTCCCACTTCCTAATAAAAGAAATTAAAAATATTTCCAATGCATTTTTCATTAATTTAATAAATGAACCAAAATTTTCATTTTGTTTTGTCAATAAGCAAGAACAGTTTTTGTATTAACTTTTAATTTTACTGACTAGGATCGACCTTAAAAGCAACAGGATAAAGACTAAATTGGAAAAGCTGATTTTTCGACACCATGCCTAACTAGGTTAATTAGAAAGCAAATACAACAGCACTCAGTAGGTAAAGAGTTGAATATTGCCAATTTTCAGCTTAAAAATGATAGATGTGATAAAAACATGTATCTGTGATGTTAATTAAAAATTATTTATAAAAAAAAAAATCTTATTTAGTTACTTGAGTCTGAAGACTGCCTTGAGAGAGAGATGGTCTGATGGGATGCTGCTTGTTGGAAGGCCTCCAGTTGACCTCAGCACATACTCATCAATTGTCTCTAGCACACCTACTGTATCCAGTGAGAAGGATGAATGGAAGATGTAGTCCAAAGTGCCATATGTGTTTGATGTATAGGTTGTTGTCGTGGGTTCTCTGCCCTGGAATTTTGGAAGAATGCTACAATTCAAATTCTAATCTTTTTTTCCTCAATCTCACAAGTCATACATACATGCATAAAAAAAAAAATCCGCACATTTTGTTCCCTTTATTGCTAACCATCAATCCACAAGTTGCAGCCCCAACTTTGTATACTTTGGATCTCAACTGCTCTGAATGTATCATAAACAGACATTTTGTAATAACAACATTGTAAACAAATAGTTTCTTGATAGACAATATGAGGATGTAATAAATAGGTGTTTTTAAGAATATTATTTAAAATTTCACAAACTTGTATTTATTTTAGCTATTGCTTTACCAAGTGACTGATTATTTTAGAAAAAAAATACATTGCTTGCCAAGGTATCCTACTTAACTACTTCTGTAAAGTACCACCACTCTATGTAAACTTTTGTGGAGCTTTGCCAATTACAACCTTACCAGTGCAATTTCATAAGCACTTTTCAAGTTTGATGATGTGTGTTGAAATGCTCCCCACATGTGATTTATGAGAGCGCAAGTCTGAAATAAAAAGAATTCACACACTTGAAGAATTTTTTTGGTGATAGATTTTGTTAATATTCCAGATCTGCATTATATAGACTATAGAGACAATACATTTGGCAGTGAAAGTCAGAATGATCATATTACTTTTACATACACTTACACACACACAGATATATATATATCATACTACTACATCATATGGTGGCCTTTCTGTCCCAATAGCTAAATATGACCCTTTTGTCAGTGGATCATTGAAATTCCCTAAATTTTCACATCTGTTACCTCTACTATGTTTACATTACTTTTTTTACTTTCTGTTTTAGTACAATCATAACAGCATTAAAAGTGAAGAAAAACAACTCAAGATGGTTCCAAATAAAAAATTTAAAAAACTGATATTTTTTTTAGACAAAATTATAAGAAATAAAGTCATCACTTTGATAAATAAAGTTCAAGAATGATTGTTTTGTGTTGCATTACATTATTTTTAATACTTTCTGGTGTCAACTCTTAGATGCCTTAGACAAAGTACATAAAACCATAATGTTCACCATCTTCAGAAATTTAAGCCATTACTTAAGTAATTTTAATGAATAATATTTAGTATGTGCGGCCAAAGTGGGCCAGTCCAATTAAATTCAAACAATATCTTGTAAAGGTTTAAATAAATTAAAAATTTGTAAATGAAATATACACATACAGATTTACAAATGCAGCTTAAAATTTCTATTTAAAGATATTAAGTTATTAATTGGCCCTAAATGATTTTCATTACAATTGATTTTCATTTTTTCTTACAGAGACACTCCTATAAACATTTTTTGCACTTAATCTTAAATAGAAGAGGTTACCACCCTTTTAGTTTTTAGGGCATCTCTTATTATTTGTTAAGTATGAAATATTCAGTGAATTCTTTAACACAAGCTAATAAAGAGTGTTAAAATTGAAATATATGCACCAAATTGTACAAAGAAAATAACCTCATTTAAAACTGGCATATTACAATAACTGATTATATGGTTAATAACTTCATTTTGTATTTAAACTATTTCAACTGCTTGAAATGACTTCCATAAAACAAAGAGGAAAGAATTTAATCATAGTTTGGATGAACAAGAAACATGACAGAATCAGTGAAGAGAGTGGAGCAGACCAGCACACTGTTGTGGCAGTATAAATGTAATCATTATACTTATAGTATACATTGCTATAAGCTAACAGGCCACCACACTGCTCTACTCTTTCCAACAGAGTCTTTTTAATAAAATAATACTTAAATCAACACTCACTGTGCCATCTTTAAGAGTAAGTGAATTTATGGCTTGAAGCCTTTTAATGTCATTATCTGACAGGTATCCATCTTTGGCAAGCTGCTGTGCCGGTGAACCCTGGATGGAGTTAAAGTCTCCACAAATGATGTGTGGATAAAGGTCATTTCCAGCTGTTGCCACCAGCTTCTTGATGGCAGAGGCCACCTTTAAAAAGATAAAAATAAATCAATATATTTTTATGTTAATGATATGCCTCTATTCAACAGTTAAAATATCTATTTGTTTTTGAGTATGCTGAAAATAAATGCACATTCTCCAACTACTGACAAAATGAAATATTGGAAATATTTAACATAGGTAAATAAACACACACAAAAATATGTAAGAAAAGAGTAAAGATAAGGCAGTGTTAGCAGATATACATGGTAAAATTAAATATATTCAATACAGTTTGTTAAATAGTCCTTTATGAAATTACTTTCTAATAATAATAAAACCTTACACAAAAAGACACCTGACTGCTGTTAAGGGTTTTTGAAAGATCAAAATTAGCATTCATGAGCAGTTTTCTGCAACAGTTTGAACATTAAATCATTCAAGACACTCACTGGTACACTTAATGTTATTAATGAAACTACAGATCCTAAAATGATATGGTGCTAAAAATGATGTCAAAAGTGAACAATTTATATCCTTACACCACAATAAAATGAAAGAAAGTAAAAAAAGTGTTTTTTTAGTGTGCAGAGTCTTTTAAGGAAAATTTGTATTCCATTGAAGAATTTTTGGGGTGTAGGCTAAATTTTTAGTACTTTACAAATGACTGCACACACCTTTACACTTGTACAGTTAAAAAATTTTTTGAAGAGCTTATTTTCAAAACATGTTATCACCATTTTCGAAAAAAACTTACCTTTCGGTAGAGCAAATCAGGTTTCTTTTAAGACATGGTAAAGTTTACTTACAAACACATTACATTCCTATTTTATTCTTGTTTAAAAATGATTTCATTCTCTAAACGCAATATTTAATATTTTTGTAAATTGTTGAATAATCTCAAAACCCCAAAAATGGATATTCAGCATTTTGAAAATCACCTCTTCATTTTTTATTATCAATACATAATTAAAAAGGAGTAAAGTTAGAGTTAGTTTCAAATACATGCTCAACTGATTTTTTTTGTCTTGCAAATCTTTATAGGAAAGAAATTAAGAATTATTATTAATGGCTAATCTCTTAATTTTAAAAAGAAAAACTTGTTATTTTCCACAGACAGCTTCAGTGATAAATCGGTCACGGCTTATTTTTACAACCTTTATGTTTAATGATTACAAATACAGGGCAACTTGCTGATACACAGCGACCAGTTGTTAATGACTGAAGTCCTAATGGCCGTGTAAGTTATTAGTGGGTAAACTATATAATGAACAGTTTTTTAATGCAACAATTATCTATTATTAAATGGAAAACAATTAGGTAAGTAAATTAAACTCAAAGACGGTAAAATGAGGATGAAAAGAGCTATCAGCTCTACAACCCCATGTCTGGTCAAAGTTTCTGAACGAAGTAAGTTGTGCTTACAGTTTCTAATTAATTGATATAAATAATCCATCTCACCGTTTTATTTATTGCACTACATATCTGATATGAAGAATCAGTACAATTTTTATTTCCTTAAAGTATTATTTTTAAAATAGTAACTTAAAATACAAAAGTAGGATGAAATCAGACATTTAAAATGAAAGAAGATATAATAAATTTGTTGTTGCTTAAATAATCACAATTTCATGGAATAAAAGCAAATAATTTTTTTAGCGAAATAATTTTATTAACACATCTGTCAAGATTGGCTGGAAGTGATGTACTTATAAAGAGAGAAAAATACGCCATAGTATACATGTACAGGATACTTTAGCAGAAACGACAAGAGTATCAAACACCATAATAAATTTACTATATAAATATAAAGGAACAATTTTTTGTAGTTATCCATGTTTAGTTATTTAATAATGTATGCAATTAATTATTAATACCTGAATACACTGCACATCTTGGGCATCATTAGAATACACAACATGAATGTTGCAGATGGTTACCAACTTGCCAGTCTTCTTACACTTAACCTGGGTCAACAAAATAACATCTGCTCTGTCTAAGTATTTCTTGGCTGCATGACTAACTTCTTCATTCAGAGGACAGGTTTCCAATTCCTGATGTAAACAAATAAAATTTTAAAAAAATCAGATTTAGCATTACAATCAGACAAAGCAAAGTTTACCAAGAACATTCAGCCTTTCTGTTTTTAATTTAATTTCAGTAAATACCCAAAATATTGATATGTTATAAATAGTTTCTAGTTACCTGTACTACAATCTTTAAAGATATATTAGTGAATTATAAAAGCATTAAAAATAAAATTGAAACTTAATAGGAAATACACCTCAATATTTCAAATTTCCACACAAACTTTCAATTAAGCTAACTTTTAAAACCCACCCATTTTGGGGTTTTTTACTTCGTCGCTTAGCACAGCGCGGCATTACTATTAATAGTTCTACCAGAAGAAAGCCTCGTTGTCAGCATTTATTTTGATACTAGTTTAAACGCAGTGTGTTGAGGGGCTCATTTTCTACATTTAAAAATAAAAGTTTGTTTTTTTTTCCTGTAAAAAATGGCTTTTCAAGGCTTGGATAAAATTTTGAAAGAGCTTAAGACTAATGAAGCTTCACTATTTCATGAGTCTAGCAGCAATAGTGAAGAATCTGATATAGACATTAATTTAAATGACGCTATTAGTGATTCAATTGAAGAAGATAATAGTAATAGTAGAGACATCGATGACAACGAACCTATCAATTCCACTCAAACAGATCAGCAAGATCATGAGTGGTCTAGGAATTTTCACAAATCAAAGTGGGAGGGTCCCCGACTGTTTTAAGGTGCAACTTTTGCTTAATTCATGTATTTGATTTGAGGTACTTTTAATTTTATTTTCTTGCTTCTAGTTTATTTTCTGTAAATTAAGACCATTTAAAATGGAGTTATGTCCCCTTGCTTGGTCGCTGGGGGTAGAAAAGGCTGAATAGGCTTGGATTGTAAAGGGTTAAGTAAAACTTTCTTACCATCAGAAAATCCTAGCTTAAAAGGAAAATAACCAAACCATAATTCCAAATCGTATGAAAGGTAACTCTAGAGAGCAACAGTTGGTTGGCCATCTGTGACCACATTTGTTAGAGTCTTTAAGAAGTTGGGATAAAAATTAAGAAACACAATAGAGGATGGCAGGGATATTGTGTTTCTTAATTTTTTTTATCCCAACAGCTAACAAAAAACCTAACAAATGTGGTCACAGATGGTCAACTACTATTGCTCTTTGGAGATTACAATAGAGGCTGGTAGGGATAATTAAAAAAATACATCCTGATCGTCTTCTATGTGAGGTAGTAAGGCGGAAGATAGATAAAAGCATATAAAAACAAAAAGCACTCTGTAAGGAATGATGTAGAGTGTTGTTAATCTGCTCCGACTCTACCTTATAAGCCAAATCTTTTAAAGAAAAACCCTCAGATGAGATAACTGTGAACTTGGATGTTCTCACAAAAGTGGCTTCACCTTCATCCCAGTAATCTTTTGTTCTCTTTATAAAGTTGCCCTCATAGCCCCGACTGAAGGTAATACAATACAAAACATTAATGAGTGATTAAATGATACATTCGAGTGTCCATGAAATCTGGAAAATTTTAAAAAATATTTAGTTTTTTTTAAAGGATATTTCATCATATTTATTTTAAAAAATCTTTAATACACTATCAAATATATTTCTCGATTATGCTAACAGAGGAGTACTTAAAGAAAATCACCATGAGGAACGCATAATAAATGAAATTGGCCAAATTGATGGAAAAGTGGCATCTTAGATTTTTTAAACACTAATTGTGGATATCACATTGAAGATGTTATGAAATTCAAGACGGTGACAAGCCCAGTTAGTTGTAGAGACAATGAACCACTTTGAAAACAGAGTAAAATGTAAATGTTATGTTGGCTTTTTCATAGTAGAAGACCATAATAAACGATAACTGACTTTCCTACCTTGCCATGGCAGGAACCAAAACATTTTTAAAGTAGACTGGATTGACTTCTTGCAGGCACAAGATATCACCATCCAAGTAATCCAGTTCTTTGAGTAAAATAATGCTTCGATAGCCTTGGTCAAGGTACTGGAGTTTTGTGTACGAATAGTCTCCTCTGCAGAAAAAAGACAAGAATTCTAGATGAATAAAAAATGAGGCACAGTCAAATATATTTAGCAGGCATCTAAACAACCATCTAATCAACCTGACATGCATTCATAACCCCCCCCCCCCCAAAGGATACTCAGATCAAATTCCTATTAGGCGCATAAAGCAATAATGAGACTGAGATTTTTTTTTAAAAGTATAGATACATTTTTTAAATCTACATTTTGTGGTTATTGAAATCTTTTTTTTTTTGTATATCTTTATGCTTTTATAGATTTATTTTTTATTTAATGAGGGCTTTCATAATTTTAAATTGTTATTAATGGGTAAAACAGTTAAATTATATAAGCTTAAGTCTCTCACTAGAAATTTAGAAAATGACATTCAAATACACAAAAAACTAAATTAAAAAATTTAGAATTTCTAGAATTTTTTAGAATTAAAAGATAATTTCATTATATTTACACCGAGTTGGGTCAAGGTAATGAACTTATTTTTTTGTGTGTAGCTAATTATCAATTACATTTAAATTTCACAGTAACTGATTAACTTTAACAAGAGGTCTACTAACGTCAATGCCTTAAGAGGAGTCTGATTTTACTTTTAAGCACCAGTTATTTGCAACTATCAAAAAGAATTGATATTTTTGCCAGTTGCATTAATTTTATTTAATTCTGAGGAAGATATATCCATATCAAATAATTTATGATTAGTCTTATAGTAAGAGTATGAACTGAAAGAAATCTTAAATATCTAACCAAGCCGAAAAATAACTATGTAACCTTTGTAACAAGATTTGACTAATTTAGTATCCTTGATAATTTGTTTCCACATGCTTACACTTTTAGAAGAGTACCCCAATAAACAAATAGCTGAAACGGACGCCGATTTATTGGCTACCGATTATAATTTTTCAGTATTTATTTATTGTACCCAATAATTGTAAATTGTATTAAAAATATTTAATAAATTAATCACAATTACAAAGACTACAATGTGGATTAGGCAGTTGAGTTCATAAATATCATTTTAACAGCATGAATAAATAATAGAAAGAAATTAAAAGTGTGCCATCAACATCTCATCTATTCATTGGCTGACTCATCCAAAAGTTAACACATTGGATAATGGACAAAGACGAACTTGGCCACATGTGTTCTCAAATAGACAAATTTGTCGATAATATAAGAGAATCTAGGTAGATCTATATAATAACTGCCCATGTGCTAAGTTTCACCTTGATCAAAATTCAACATTGAGGCATGCCCACTGTCTGAAATCAATTTACCAAAATAGTATATTTTCATCTGAAAAAAAACGACATTGAGTTTTCTCCAATGTGACTATAATTCCCCTAACCATAACGGATACTTCTTATTAAAAAAGCTGCACTTCTTACTAAATAACGCTACTTTTCTTTTTACATAGGTTTCATTTCTACCATGTAGTCCTCGACACACACATTTGACATACAAATTTATGGAAGTTATTTTTGGATCATTTAATTTTAATGAATTATCTCAGTCAAATAATAAACTTTCATTTTTCATCCATAAATAATTTCAATCAACACTTTTCAACTTCCTTTTCGTTTCCCTCCAATTTTTTTCCTCTATGTAAGATAGGAGTAGTTGAAAGAGAAGGAAAAGTATTGAAGATATTACCAGTCTTTTCTTCTAACTTCTTTATTGTTCCCATTGAGTTTCTACAGTTTACATCATTACTTGGGATTACTTTCAAATATTTTATAATAGTACTTAAGTGATTTTTTATCAATATTTGATTTTGTGGTTTCAAAGTTTTTACATATCCTTCCCATAACAATTTAGATTCTCTATAGATGTCAATAGTAGCTCAGCATTTATAATATACCGATAATACAAAATGCCTCCATAAATGTTTTGGATAAATTATTCTTAATATGGGTGTTATTGTGATAAAGCAAAAAAGTTTTTGGGTTCATCAAGTTTGGGTAAGGGTGTTAATTAGTATAAAAATATATTTCCGGGTGAAAGTTAAAAAACCAATGTTTTTATATGATTTTTATATAATAGTAAAAATTAGTTGATGTTTGTATGTAGTATAAATTTTAAAATTAAATTTTAAAAAAATTAGGTTTTAGGGAAAGAGAGAATCACATTAAGACTGGAGGATGAGTTTTAAGGTAATTTGACAGGTTGATTCAATCCAAAGAGGATTTGAATTAAGAATATATAAGATTGGGGATTTATGTGCTATAACATTTAAAAACTGTTTTTTTTTAGGACATAGGTACACAAAATAGACAATTAGGACCTAACTAAAAGAATAACTCTATTTGGCAGCATGAACAAATAAATATTCCATCTATTAATATTACAATTAGAAATATTTTTTTGTTGCTTGTATTGTTTCATTGTGAAATAATTTAAAATAACATTATTTACAAACTCCACAAAGATGCTTCTGCTTCAACCCTCAGACGTTACAACTTCACTATAATTTTACCAGGCTGATTATAAAGACTTTTGCTTTTTCTTCTTTCTAACCTGCGCAAATGACAGTCAGCCAAAATATTGTAGCTTACAACACTGAAACAAAATGCAGGATCCATCATTTCCACAGGAAATTTTGGGTTGAGGGTAAACTTGCGGTTAAGAATTCCAGTGGAAGATGGTGTATACATTTCCAAAGGATCAACCCTCGCACTTTTCCTCGAAATGGACTGTAGAGAAAAAGAAAACTTTTATAAAAATATAAATGATTTTCTAAATTAATACGAGCAAAAAAAAAAAAAAGAAAACTGCATACAGACATCATGATTGTGAAGCTCTTGAACATCTCACTGTTGCTCAGCAAAAAATTTTTTTAATTAAAAAAAAAGAATTTAAAAAAAAACGTTTTTTATATAACAATATTTTATTTATAATTCATACATTGAACATATTTTTTACAATTATTAATTAAAAATTTGGTTAAAATATCTTCAAAACTACCAGAAACTGGTTATTTTATTTATTTTTTAAAATTAAAAATTTGTTTAATCCACTGATGCCTAATCAATTTCAACTGTAATTCCTTCAATTTTCTTAAAAACAAAGGTCAATAACTCTAAAAGGATACAATGTAAAAATATAAATAAATAACAAAAATAAATAAAAAGTAAATGTTAATGTATCTCTTTAAAAAAAATTCTAATAAGTATTATATTATAAAAATAAATAATGAAGTTAATTTCTAATTAATTAATTCATAAATTATTCACTAAATAAACATTTAAATTAGAAAATTTGTAATTGAATTTTACAGGAAAAATTCTAGTCCTTTCTTGGTAGACAGGAGTGGGTTAATAAGTTAAAAAATAGTTCAACTTTAACAAAAATAGAGGCTAAACTGACCACTTAACATATTTAAAATAACAATTCCAATAATTGGCTCAGGCAGTAAACGGCAGTTAAAATTTGCCAGTTAAAAAATTCAAATCTGAACACAAAAAAGATTAAACAAATCTGAACTGGGGTTAAAGGAAACCAACAAATGGAATTTGAACAACAAAAATGGCAGAAACTGTGAAACTGGACTTAAGACTGAACCTTCTTTACGCCGATTTCCTTTGCATTTTCATTTCGCTCATAATTCAGATTATTCATATTGATGCTGACTTCAACAGCTTGCTGATAAGCTACCTGCGTGTCATTTGAAACATCAATAGTTGCATTATTTTGTGTATTCTCCTGGGCTGTAGTGGAAGCATTATCAGATGAGTTCAAACAAATATCCTCTGCATTTTGTGGACATGCTGATGATAGCTCCATAGATTGGTCTGGTTGTTCAGCTGATGCAGAGGAGTCCATAGAAAGAGCATCACTAACATCAAACCCACGAGAAGACAAACCAGTGATGTCAGATGCAGCTTCACTTCCTACCTCAACATAGGTTGAAGATGTTTCATCCACATCCAGCTATATTAGAAATAAGAGACACCAGTTCATAGATAAATATTAAGAATGCAATAATCAATTATTTTAAACTAAAATTTAAAACAATTATGAATTATGAAAATATTCTATTTTCAAATATTTTATATACATAAAAACCATTTCCAAACCCAACCAAAAAAACAGTATGTCTGAGGAAATAACTTACTTTCTTGGTATACTGCTTAGCAAGCTCAGCTTCTGTGAGAGGAACAACAAAAGAAATATTTGTTTCCCCTGGAGGTCCAATACTAAGTTCATCAGGTTTTGAATCTTCCACTTCTGGTTCATCTGGCACAAGAGCATCAGATACCTGAAAAAAAAAGAAAAGAATAACATGAAATGTTTTGAATCATGCCAAAGCTACAAAGAAAATCAAATGTATATGACACTCAAAAATAAATTTAATTTAAGATTTTCAACAAATTATGAAAATTAAAGAACTACGGAAAAAAAATAAAAATGTTTTAAATTACGTTTTATTGTTATAAGAAAAGCTTTTAAATACAGCCATAGGAGAACTTTCTTCTGAAAGGAGGATAATTTAAAAAAGTAAGTCTTACTTTATTGAAAGTACTTTATTATTGTACCCTGAAAACAAGTTAATCCTACTGTTATCAAATGCTAGAGCTTAAAAAGACCAAAGAAAGCTGTTTATAAATTTGATCTATGCTTTTAATGAGTGCTTACTTCCTTGCTGTCAGATGGAGGAACATCTTCTTTGTTGACAATGACAAAGTCACTAAGCTCATCCTTTGAAGCCGAGTTCTCATTCTCAATCACTTTTGGACGTTTCACAGTCCTTTCCTCTTCTTCTTCTTCTTCTTCAAGTTTTCTTTTTTTACTAGGACTTATTGACTCTTCTGGAGCATTCTGCACCATTGTTAAAAATGAAATAAAATTACAATATTACAGTACTGAAATGAGTCTCTACTACAATGATCTTAACAAAAACAACAAAAATCATGACAAATTCAATTGTAGTTATAAACATATTGAGAGCTTAAAACATTTTAGCAGGTTGCCACAAAATTCATCATTGGGGGTCTCCAGAGTATGGACACCTCTCGTTATTTCAGAGTAGCAACAAAATCACAAATCCCCAAGAATTAACCAGATGGTGTAATTCTGAATAATTTCAATAAAGAAAACTTAAATTTTTATGTTTTGTTTTAAATTGTTTCTTGTTAGTACAATCGACTTATATCTATCCTTCGTTGGTCCAAGGTGCAAAAATGCTTAATTTTTTTATTAATACTCATCATTATTTTTTTGTCCATTGACCTTACGTTTTATATCAAACACCACACATTTCTAGAGCCATTTGTCTTAAATTTATAAATAACAAAATGTTTAGAAGCTTAAAAGTTACCCATCATGATTCATGATAAGATAGACAGCTCAAGAAAATGAGTAAAATCCATGCCATTTTCATTGAGTTATTTGACAGTGAAATAAAATTTAAATATAATTTTCTATATGCATAACTTACTTTAGATGGAGTTGAAGGCTTAGCCGTTTCTTCCCCTGTCTTCTTTGTTGGTTCTTCCTCTGACTTTTCTGTTGGTTCTTCCTCTATCTTTGTTGGTTCTTCCTCTGTCTTCTTTGCTGGTTCTTCCTCTGTCTTCTTTGTTGGTTCTTCCTCTGTCTTCTTTGCTGGTTCTTCATCAATCGTTTTTTCTTCCACTGCAGATGTTTCCATTGGCTCCTCTTTCTCTTCCGGTTCATCCATTTCTGAAGCAATCGAAGTAGATGCACCACCTCTGCGAGAAGACCTTGCTGGAGGAGCTGTGACAGCAGCCTTCTGACCCCTACCTCTACGCCCACCACTTGGTGGTGTGGCACTAGGGGCATCTGAAACTTTGTTTGGGGTACGCCTCTGTCTGCCTTTGGTCTCTGTATCCACATCATTCTCTGACGAAGGATCAGCACTTTCTTTAATTTCAGCATCTGGAGCATCATCTTCTTTCTTTTCACTTTCTGCCTTTTCTGATTCTGGCTCAGCTTTATCACGACCTTTCCTTCCACCTTTAGGTGATGGCGTGACAGGGGCAGCCTTTCCCCTGCTTCGACTGCCTGGAGTTTTGACAACATTAGCCCTTGTCTTTTCCTCCTCCTGTTCATCCTCTTTAGCTTGATCCTCTTCAGAGTCTTCTTTTTCTGCTGATTTCCCTTTCCCACCTTTGGCACCACTACGACCACCCTTTGCCACTGTTTTCCCACGCCCTCGGCTACGAGCACCACCCCTCTGAGGCTTCTCTTCTTCTGCTTCTTCCTCCTTGCTTTCATCTTCTTGAGGTTCCTCCTCCTCCTCAGATTCATCTTGTTTCTTTCCTCTTTTCCCACGAGATGCTGACCTCACACCTCCAGCAGCCTTTTGACCCTTTTTTGGTGTCTCATCTTTCGACTCAACCTCCTTAGCTATAGACAACAGAAAAGAAAATGCTCATATGTTTTGCTATGCCAATAGCATTAATTAAGGAATCACATTTTACACAATGAAACCAACATTATGTATATTTTAAAATCAAGGATACAAATTCAAAATATAACTATTCACATAAAACTGAGTAGATCTTTGAATCCCCCCCCCCCCCCCCCCCCCCAAAGAATACACACTTTAAAATAGTATTTACCTTTTGCTGCCTGTCGACCTCCTCTCTTTGCTGGTGCACCCTGAGGCTCTCCTATTGCTACAACCTCTTGTGCTGGTTCTTCCTTCTTTGCACCTCTGAAGATTTTTTTTTTAAAATTGATATAAATAAATATATTATTTAGTGGCTAATAGGTTTCAAAAAAGTTTCCATCATCAGAATGCAAGGCATAAAAATGAGTTCAAATATTGATAGTTATAAGTTTCAAGACATTCACATTTACCTTCTGCCCCGACTGGTAGATCTAGAGCTTTCTTCTGCTTCTGGCGTTGTCTCCCTCTTAGATGCAACACTCCTCCTTGTCAACCTTGGCATCTATTTAAAATTATGAAATAATGTATTTCAAACATTATGTGAATCTTTCTTTGTCCCATGATTGATAATTGGTTAACTACAATTAAAAAAGATTTAAATCTAGGTGGCTATTAATGTATTTAGTAGTTAATATTACCTTTACATTAAACCAGTGTCATTGACACCTGAGAAAAGCATTGACTTAAAAGGATTGAAAAAGCACAACAAAATACAATATATCATGAGGAGAGGTTGTACTTAAAAACAGAAAATAAAATCTGTAGACCTTTCAATTTTATAAATATAGTAGTTTTAATATTACACTTATATTGACACTTGTAAAATTAATAAGCCAAATTTTATTAAATATTATATGTAAAGTAGGGCTGCACCATTTATTATCAGGTATTAATATTAACATTGTCCATTTAATTAATTAATCTGTATTGGATTATTTAAATAGAGAAAACCTAGCTAATCTGCAATTAATAAAAAAATGCTTGGAATTTTATCATTTTTGTACAAAATTTGTATTTGTTCTAAATATACCCTCATATATCCCCCATGAATGGCTTTTCTTTGTTCTTTTGTGAAATTGTGGTATTTATTCAATGTCAACACCATAACAGATACCAAATAATATTAAAATTGTCTGCAACTGTAGGGACTTCAATAAAGTGATATGGTTCTGATGAGTTTTTAAATGCAAATTTTTTAGATTGCCAGGATGACTTTATATAGACTGCATTAAATTCAAGGAGCAATATTTTAAATTACTAATGGGAGAAAAAGAGAGGGATGATGTAAAGAGTTTAAAGCAAATTTAATGCAATGTTTATTATGGAAATTCCTTTGTTTTTAGCAAGGAAATAACAAATAAATGATTTACCAGCAACATAGCAGGAAGCATAGCAGGGCAGTAACAACTTTATCTAGGATCAAAAGTTTAGGCCAATAAAAGGCATTTCATTAGTTCTCTTTAACCCTGATATTATTCATTTCAAAAAGGCATTTACACTTAGGCATAGATTATTCTAAGCAAAACACACCAAAAAATTACGCCAGGGGTTGGGGGGGGGGGGGGGTGGGGGGGGGGGGGGGGTGTTGTGTGTGTGTGTTTTGAACCTTAGGGGTTACCCAGTGATCAATTTGTTATTGTGGCGATGTACATGTGCAATTTTTCCTTTTTCCATCTTTGCAGACAACACACCATTTTCATATTAGATTACAACTTAATCATGAGGTGGTGCAGTTCATGCTATCAATAAAGAGCAAAAAAAGAACCAACAATGCCAACGACGTCTCATTTTAAAAAGTTATAGAACAAAAACAACTAAAAAGTAATATTTTAAACATTTCTTTAGGGTGGTAGTTGTATTTTGTATTTTTGCCAAAGCCTTGAATTAGGCAGAGTGAGGAAGGAAGCATTGCACTCTTTATGGTCAACCTATCATCTGGGTACTCTACTCATCACATATTTTACTTGGCCTGGTCTCTTCTAATCCCTAGCCAAAACTGGCCAAATAAATTAGTAACATTACTATAACATAACTATTATACAATTATATTATAATACACAAATAATCAACAGTAAATAATTGGCATCGCACAATGTACTGAGGCATATCAATCAGTAATTCCCGATATGCTTGTATAGTCTAAGTAAAGAGTATAGACTATAGAAAATAGCAGAACAAGGTATGTGGAAGCTTGAAATAGAAAGACAGGACAATAAAAAAGATGCTTCGGCTAAGAGCATTCCTCTGTGCTGAGGAAGGTACTGAAGGCTCTTAGTCTTAGCCTACGCCTAAATGGTATACGTTCTTATTTATTGTCCTGTCTTTCTATTTCAAGTTTCCACGAAGTTCCACATACCTTGTTCTGCTATTTCCTTCAGGCAGCCCTTCATTTATTATTGCTTAGGCCTATATATCTAGTGCTAGTGTAAACTGCAGACTTTGCCTATGAATACCTATGGCCAACTGGAGCCTTTTTTATCAACCAGATCAGTTTAAAAAAGCCAAGTTAAAACTACTAAAACTAAAAAAAGTAACAAATAAATAAGTATTTAAAATCACATTAAAAAATAAAGACTTTAAAAAAAATGCAACAAACTATAATAATAATAATAATAATAAAAGTCAAAGTTTACATTTTCAGAGTTTAATACATAAACTTTCATTATCTAGGTTAATAACTAAGTTAAAAAATATAACAACATACATGCCTACAAACTATCGGAAACAGGTAGAATATTGTTGGCCTATTTTTAATTTAGCTCGCAATTATATGGAGCAGAATAAACTTCGTCAAATTTCTGCATTTTTTGGACATGTGAACTGTTACAAAATACTTAGAGACTACATAATTTTCAGAGAGGAAAACTCATAGGACATTAAAATTCTCACCTTAATAAGTAAATGATGCAAATATTATGTTTTAATCAATAATAAAAGTAAGTAACCGGTAAGCGACGCTATTGTTTGGAAAATAAGGTTGCCGCCATTAAAGACATAGAGAGTACGCCGCAGCAACGTAAATGAGTACTATGGTAAATTATTTATCATAGTTAAATCAAAGAAAAAGACCTAAAATAAGTGAAAGTAAATTTGGTAAAAAATCAACTTTTTTTTTTTTGATCAACAAGAATGAACTTTATTTTCATGAAACGAAATCACTACGGGTCTTCTGTTGTGATGACCAGGACAGATAATTCATGTTTTACGCTTAAATTTAGATGTTAATAGTTACGGTACCTTACTTCATAAACTTCTAATTATATACGTATTTAAATCCATGTTGATGTTACTTGCAATTTTCAATTTAAATTAATTGTAAGAAAAGGAATATACAACAAGATCGATTTTTTAAATAGCGTACGTTTAATTTTAATATGCGATTTCATCTTCCAGTTGTTATATGATGCGGTCAACCCCTTAGCATCGAGTGACCAAATAATGAACTGGACAAAACGGGACACACCCAAGGAGGGTTTGGTTGGGGGGATACCCTTCAGCTAAAGAGGGATCCAAGGGGCCTCCATCGGACCTATTTATTGAAATATGCTAATTTTAACTATTTCGAGACCTAGAAATCTTTTTACCTTCAGTTTTGTAATTTAATTTAAACTCTGAGGCATACTATAAACGAAAAAAATAATATTGCAGTTAATATTTATTTATACATATTTTACAACATAATAAGATCTATGGCAGGGACACTGTCGTTTACACAGCGTCGGCAGAGTGGTGGAGGGGGAACAGTGCAGCCATCACGCGAGCCCACATCACTCCTGGCACTGGCTACACTGCTAGCCAAAAATATTAATTGAAGTTATATTATAAATTAGGAAGTTTTAGTGATTTGAAAATGTGTTTGGTTTTTAGAAACGGTACATTGAGGTGTCCCTAGAGACTTTAACGGGGACACCGAGTACGATCGTGAACAAACGGGACGTTAGGTGACCCTACCTTAGCACCTTCTCCCGGGTAGTCCCTGTCCCTTATCGGAATCACTTTGGTAGGCCTGCTTTGACATAGCTGTACTGAAATGAGGAAATGGGGAACATCAGTAGACGGGGACGTCAACAGATTTTAAGATCCATACAAGTACGTGAGCGATGTAACTCGAGGTTACTTTCAAGTAAGCCGTGGGGCTAAATTTGCTAAGACACCCCCCCCCCCTTTTTGGCTGTTACTCGGTTCCTCAAATTTTTGTTCTCGTTTCAAAATGTGCCACCATTTTGTGTCTTTAACGTCAACAGATTTTAAGATCCATACAAGTTCGTGAGCGATGTAACTCGAGGTTACTTTCAAGTAAGCCGTGGGGCTAAATTTGCTAAGACACCCCCCCCCCCTTTTTGGCTGTTACTCGGTTCATCAAATTTTTGTTCTCGTTTCAAAATGTGCCACCATTTTGTGTCTTTACACTAAATTGCCCCACCCGGAGATGGAACGGAACGAAAACAAAGTTAAAAAGAAATTTCGCACCCTCGTGATTAAATGGCTGAACGAGTTTTCGAAAATTGGATTTTGTTAGTTTCTCCCATATTGCAAAACCTTTGCCTTCAAAAATGAAAATCGCTGTTTTACCACTTTCTTTCAATGTTTCATTTCTTTCTTTCTTTCTTTCTTTCTTTCTTTCTTTCTTTCTTTCTTTCTTTCTTTCTTTCAATGTTTCATTTCTTTCTTTCTTTCTTTCTCTCACCCTTTTTTCTTTCTATACCTTTATATCTTTCTTACATTTTTCTCAATTTTTTAAAATTACAAATCCATACAACATTCTCCCACAAAGTGAGAAAGTAAACACTGATTTCAAGTAAAAGCCTGCGCTTATAATGTCCGTCAACACACCCAGAGGCGTGGCCGACAGAGTTGATGAGGGCTAGTGCCTGAAACACGCTTACTAGAAACGTCATCCCATTTCAAAAGCAAACAAAAAGTATACACATATCTCGATAAACAAGTATCTCGAATGGGTTTAATAAAACAAAAATTCCTTTGAAAATTCCAAATCTCCAATCCTGCCAAAATATTTCTTTAGGTATTTAATTTAATTAATATAAGAATCATTGAGAACCACAATACAAAAATAAATAGCTTCATATATGAAGCCAACAGCAGCAGGGTTTATCCAGATGTTATGCTCATTTAAATCAAAGGAAGAAATTTATTAAAAATCTTTGTATTTTCTTTTATAAACAAAAAGAAATATTCCCCAAAGTCCCCACCCACGCAGCAAGAATACACAAGGTCAGCCCCATGAGAATCCACAAGGTTAGATTCACGAGAATGCGCCAGGTCAGCTCCATGAGAATCCACAAGATCGGATCCATGAGAATCCACAGGCCCCTAAACTAGCGCTCCTACCGTACATGCAACAAATTCATTCTTCATACTTAAATTTTGTGTCCGGAAATGATGATCGAACAAGGTGTGTACATTTCCATACATTCCTAGAGTCGGTTTAAGGGGATTGACAGGTGGGGGGAAATTAACTTAACATTTAAAGTTTACCCCAGTCGTCACCGCCTCTCCCCCCCCCCCCCCCCAA